GTAAGAAGTGATCATTTGATCACTAGCAGGTTGTTGTTGGTGGCAGGTGAAGGGGGTGTGACAATGAGAGGGTTTGTGGGGGTAGGTGTAATGATGAGGAGGCATGTCAGTGAGGATCCTTCTGACAGTGTGAGTGGAGCGATGAGAGGGTTGTTTCTGAGGGGAAAAGTCTTTAGGGAAGCACTTTGTATACATGGAGAGTATATCATCTGCATGTTCTAGGTGTGTTTCTTTTTGCCATGAGTTTTTGGATGAAGGATACCCTTTCCACTTAATTAAAAAGGTGTGTCTGTGGCTGGACCTTTTATGACTGACTATTGCCTCAACTTCATACTCTTCTTCCTCATTGACCAGGTCAGGTGGTGGAGCTGGGAAGTTCAGTCTGTGGACATCATTTTCATGATAGGGTGACAAGAGGGAGGTGTGAAAGACATTATGAATCTTCCACCATGCAGGAATTGCAAGGCAGTAGGTGACTGGGGATAGGACCTCAGAGATGATGAAAGGTCCTTCTTGTTTTGGGGGTGATTTTTCTATTTTCATAAGAACATTTCAAATTCCATGCCTTGAGCCAAACCTTGTCTCCTTTTTGGAAAGGGGAGAAGGGTCAAGACAAGTGGTCTTTCATAGTTTTTCTGGCCAGGTCATGTGCTGCAAGGGCTTCTTCTCTAGCCTTTCAGAGTTCTTTGAGTCTGGATTTGGTGGTGGGAAGGTGGGTTTCCACAATAAGAGATGGAAGGGGTTTCAGTTCATACCCATACATGAGGTAGAACAGTGATTGATGGGTGATGGAGTGAGGTTGGTGATTATGTGCAAACTCTGCCATAGGAAGGTTGTCCACCCATGAGGTGGGATCATTCTGGCAGAAGATTCAGAGATATGTTTCAACTTCCTGATTTACATGTTCCATCTCTCTGTCAGTCTGAGGGTGATATGCCATGGAGAGGGCAAGGGAGTATCCCAGGAGGGAAGCAAGTTCTTTAGCAAATGTGGAGGCAAACTGGGGGCCTCTATTGGATATGATTTTGTCATACAGCCCAAAATAGGAGTAGACTTTCTTGAAAAAGAGTGTTGCAATGTCAGCAGCAGAGGCAGTTTTTCTTGTAGGTGTTAAAATTACCCTCTTTGTAAGCCCATGGTCTACCACAACCAAAAGAGAGTCAAACCCTTTGGAAAGGGGGAAATTGGTGACCAGATCATAAGAGATCTGTTGGAAGGGGTGGGTGGAGATTGAGGGGATGGGTGTAAGGGGGGGTGCCATTGGGTGGGTGTTTACCTTGTTCTGCTGGCAAGTAGCACAGCTGTTGACATACCTTTGGACAAATGAGGCCAGTCCAGGCCACCAGAACTCAGAGGAGACAAGCTGTCAGGTTTTTAAGACACTGGGGTGTCTAGCAGAGGGGTGATCATGGTGGTTGGACATGATAGTTTGGTGCAGAGCAGAGTCATCTGGGATGTAAACCTGGTCTTTGTAAAGCAACTGTCATGATCATGTGTTTATCCTAAGTCCTCACTCACTCTGCACCAACTCTGCATGCCCCCTGGTGTTTACAAGTTGTCTCTGCTCCAACTGCTGTCAGACTTGTACTGCTCTCCTACCAGACTGAATGGACCATTCTCTGAGGGGTCATGTGACTACCTTTGGACTCCTCCCTGACAGCTCGTAGTCAGGTACTCTGCAGCATGTGCACCACATGGTCCAGTGCCTGGACTGTTTCCTTTTCAGGATGTTCTACATTACCTGTTTGTATGTCCTCCATCTACCCTTCATTTGTTGTCTAGGAAGTTTTACTTGAAAATTTCTGGGTCTCCATATGTCAGTTCTGATTCTGGTTACTGTACCTCCATAGTAGTATAAAAGCATGTATCATACTCTGCCATTCCTCAGTACGAATATCAGCTTAGTTCCTACTCCCTCTGTCTCCATCCTCTGCCTGTCAGAGTTACCTCCAACTGTTCATCTGTACTCCCCCTCTGAAATATGAGGGCTGAGATCATGCAAGGGGGTAGTGCATGAGCTAAACCCAATGCCCTCACTTTGCTCTGCCCTTACCTTCAGTGGACTTTGTTCTTGCCAACACTCTGCCAGTTGGAGTCCTGCTCTTTCTGTCAGACTTGCTTCCAAACCTCTCCCCAGATCTCATCCAGCATTGGAGTTGGTCAGAGTAGGCCTGGACTTGACAGTATATTTGTACTCACACTTGTACAATCTCATTTTCTGTCTTCCAAAAAACTTACACCATTATGAGACCTCAAGCTCAATCCCAGAGAGAGGTTGCTGAGAACCTCACTGTTGCACTAGCTAATCCACATTGACTCCCTTCCATTGTTGAACAGTTCCAATCATTCTCTGCTCAATGCTGCTCTTGCACTGAAGGTGAAAGTGCTTTGCAAGCTGGTCGCTCCAACCTCCATCCAACCACTTTCCATACTCCATCTCCTCATAACTGAGATGATGGACCTGACCCTGATGACCCTGATGGTGATCCTGACAGTGGGGGCAGTGGTGACAGGGATATCCCCAAAGACCTGGCTGAGCCACCAGAGGATCCCCTCATAGCTCTTGCTAGGGCTGTCCATGCACTTGCATGGTCTGGTTCATGCACTGGGGACTCCACTCCAAAAACCAAAGTCCATGAGCCTGACACTTTCAATGGCTCTGACCCTACAAAACTCTGCAAGTTCCTTGTACAATGTGAGCTGAACTTCCAAGACTCCCTCCATGTGTTCTGCTCTGACAGAGCAAAGGTTACCTTCACTCAGTCTTATCTTAAGGGTATGGCTCTGGCTTGGTTCAAGCCAGACCTACTAAACCTGACAATTATGACTGCCTGCTCTGGATGGACAACTATCATGAGTTCTTACAAGAGCTCACAACTAATTTTGGTCTGCATGATACCATAGCAGATGTCATCCAACAACTCAAAAACCTCACTATGAAAGATGGTTCTTGAATTACCAAATATGTTGTAGAGTTCAATCACTGGGCTTCACAGGTCAAAGATTACAGTGTTGGTGCACTCTGCCACCACTTTTATAGCAGACTTCCAGACTGCATCAAGGATGAGATTGCTCACATAGGAAAACCTTCTACCCTCACACAACTCTGTGAACTCACTCAGACCATTGATGAGTCCAAAGGAAAGGAAGTGACTGAAGCACAGCAGCCACAGGTATAGCATTGTGCAAGAGGGAGTGAGGGTGTGGGAAGGTAGCATGTGAGCAATGGCAGATGCAAGAGGTCTGGGAATGTAATGATAGTCACAGAATGGTCAATAATAGGGGCTTTTGCATCCAAGGAATGTGGATTCCTTACAACACCATGGCCAGAAAAGCAGTAACATGGCTTGGCTGAACTCCTCCATCCAGCAATCTGCTTTTTGTGGCAATGGTATCAAATTGCCAATCAAAACAGGCACCACAAACATGTTACAAATGCAGAGCTTGTGAATATCATACTGCAGATGGGTGCAATCTGTGAAGGTGGCTCAATATCTACAAGAATAGGCTGGACATTCTGTAGTGGAGGTCATACCACCCCTGGTCTTGGTAAGTTTCTCATGTGGTCTTTCATTGTTGCTTTGCATGCATCTCACCTTCATGGTTTGCTCCAGAAACTGCCATAGGCTCATGCCATCGAAGGGAAATGCTGTCAGTTGCATCAAGTAATCCAGTGTGTCTGGCACTATGGAGAGCATTCCCTGGGTTGTATGCATGGTACATGTGGAACCATAAATGCTACCTGGACAATCAGCAACCAACAGGGTGCTGCAGGTGCATTCACCATTGACATGATGCTCATGGGCAATAGCTATATCTTCAAACTTGTGAAAGTGCATGGTGTGGAACCCATGACTAGTATAATAATCCCCTCCTCCAATTAGATAACTCATGGCTTGTTGACATGAGACTTCATGTCTACCCATCATAGCATTGACAGCCTTCATGAGCAAGTTTCTTTTGCAAACAGAGGACAAGGACTCAACATCATCCATGAAGCATTTTCAGTGACTATCAATAGCTGTGCAGATTGCTTGAAGACCGATGTGGACCTGGAGGTTGTTTTTGGTAATGTAATCGCTGACATAGTGAGTCAATGCTTTTGCAGCTGCCCCAGAACCAATAAATTTGATATTGCATTGCAGAAGGAATAATACAATTTCATTATAATTGTTTATACACAGATGACATCAACAAAGGAGGATAGACTGTGTTTTGGGATCAACATAGGATTGCACACAAATGGACCCACTGATTTGCATGTGACAATTCTCATCTCTGGGTTCCTCTCCAGAACAAAGGTGTTTGAAACAGGTAGGTGTGTGGTCATGCCAATTACATTCAACAGCCAGGTGTTGAACGAAGTCATTAAATGCAATATTAAAACCACTCTCCTCCATCAGTGCAATCTGAGGTGGCAGTTCTAGATGGGGATCAGGCTCATCCTCCTGTCAAATGGGTTTAGAAGGATTGGACTCCAAGGTATTAATGTTATCAGGTGTATCCCCTGGAAGCTCACACTTAATAAGGTCCTCTAGCCACCAAAAAAGCAAAGTCTCAAACCCTTTGTCAGCTATCATCATCTGTCACAGCTGTTTGGGATTGGGATGATTCTCCACCAACAGCAGCATATGGCAATGCAGCATTCCTCATCCCTGAGCCTCTACCATTGCATAGTATCTGATGCCATTTCCCAAACAGACCAATCCCATTGTTATATTTCACAACAATGTCCATAAAACCTCAGATAACAACATCAAATGCCTTTGCAGCAGCCACAGGATGCAATGCAACAGAAACTGCATGCTCATATGCACCTAGTTTATGCCATTGAGAAACATCCATACCACCATAGTGAGCAATGAGATCACTGGTCATGTGGATTTAAGGTAAGAAAAAAGGCTGGAGTGCCTAGTTGACCTGTTAGGGATCAGATTTCATTGCACCAACACAACTTATATCCATTGCTACCAGGTAGTGACTGACATATCACATTCAATTCACAGAACAATTGTAAAGCCCTCTTCTCCTTGATTGAGTCCACCTTCACTTTGGGATTCCTCTCCAGTTTCTCTGCCAACATTGTTATACTTGCCTCCACCTCCCAGACATCCTTCACAAGACTGTGATGATGAGCAGATGATTTGCAAAATGCAGAATTCTTACTTGCTGCTCGCTTTTGCAGGATATTCCAACATATGAAAGGAAATGTTGCATCCTGTGCAAAGGGCAAATCCACTTGTTGCAGCAAATTTCAAAGTTGTCACTGGAAAGAGATATGTTGATCAGGTCAGCAGGCTGGATGGTTGAAGTTACCAATCCCCCAGGGATCCAGATGTGGAAACACAGCAGTTAAAAAGGCAGGTGAGTTCTCATTCATTAACTCTGAACTGGCTTGACTAACCAAAAAGCTTTTGTGATTAAGTGCATGGGCCAGTGCAGTAGCCTTCATTGCATGCCAGGGCCACTCGGAATGATCACCATCCATGTATGTGACCATTTCAGTTACAAGATCTGATGCCAAGGTAGACCAATCCATGCAAGTGCCAGCATCAGTTGTCTTGTCCCCATCCCAGAGATGGGTAATCTCTATTCCCTGCAGTACCCCTACATTGTTGCTACCCTTCACCAACATCACCAGATTTTCTGGACTGAATGTAATGCCCTTTTTCATATACCATTCATTGTTCAAAGTTAACCACTCAATAATACATCTAACTCTGGATTTACTAACAAGTACCAGCAGAAATTTCCACAACACATCTGCACTTGGCTGGAATGAACCACCAGCAAACACTACGCACATGGCCCCTTGTAGATTGCTCTGTGTTGGTGGAAGCACATTTGACAGTGCAGACAGATCCTGGGGCAAAAGAGCAATGTTCCCTCTGTTAAACTGCTGAGATGCTTCCTCAGGAACTTGACCACCTTGTAAGCCTTTCATTTGATAATGATGAGTGACCACTGTAGCTCAACATGCAGTGACAAGCATAAGCTCCAATGCACTGTCATGCAGCAACTCTTCAAGACCATAATACTGAAAGTTGGCAATGGCATCCTTCGGTTTCCATGGCATTCTTGCTACCGATGCCTTCTGACAAGTAGAACACATCCATACCTCAGCAATATTGGACAAGCAATGCATCCCATGGGGGCAAAGAATGGCACTGGAATACCTTTCTATATTGTATGTTTTTGGGTGACAATCAGCAGGTAACTAATTGTTCCTCAAAATGGAGAGAATTTCTGTAGAAGGAAAAATATCAGAAAGTTCACCATGAGGAAACATTTGTGTACAGATAGTGCAAATGTCCTCCACAAGTTTCTGCAGTGACGTATTGTTCTGCCAATCCCAGACAATATTTAGTTTCTCACTCAATGTTCTGATGGGGGGATAAATCCACTGCTCTGGGTCTTCCATTGTTATTGTCCACTCTCATCGGGCCTGTGTGACACTTCTTCACATGGCTTTAGCATCAGCAACACTACCCTCCAGTGAAGAGGCTGCTTGCAGTACAGGAGCATGACATTTCCCTCACTGAGCATGTTTCAACTGTTGAAACACATATAATAGTGTCATACATGTATCTGAACACTTATGACTCCAGAGGGCATCCACACACATCTGACAGTGCAGGTGGTCATGCAAAACCACATTGTGGTGGTCCACAATCAATTGTAGATCCTTTAGCACCAGGAAAGGGTACTGTTTGACAAACTCCCAAATAGAGCTTGTACAACATACCAACAACAAACCTCTGGGGTACACTGACCCCTCACTCAGATCATTCTGCACAGTCACTCACTTGAGAGTATACTCTTGCCAGATAACTCATAACTAATCACAGCATCATTGCCAACACCAGTAACATCAATATACAGGCAGCACATGCCACTGTCCATGATAATGCACAATCAACAATGTGCCCCAGGTCATGTGCACAATGTTTTGTGATGTAATGGTTACAAAGGCTGGTAAAACCAATTCACCCCTTTCCCCCCTCACATAGTGTAGTCACACTTCATCACAACACATGGGCAGCCTGTGCACCAAAACACCAACACTTATATAGACCCTGAGACAGGCCTGCCTAAATAGATTAGCCAGTACACATGGACAGGCCTGAGGGACTAAAGTGAGAGCAACATATGTACAGGCCCATAAGTGGATTACCACAACATATGGGAGGGCCTGTGGTGGGTAAGGATGTTGAAACATTTAGACAGGCCTGTGACCAATTAAGAATACTGAGCTGCTGTAAGACATGGATGGGCCCATCCTGGTAGGTTGCACCCCTGTTACAACATCAAGGCAGGCCTGCCTATCATAACATGGAGAGGGTCACAACATAAGGATGGGCTCAGGAGGAATATCATTTATGGTGTTGCAACATATAAACAGGCCCATTCATAATAAGCCATATCCCTGTCACAACATATGGATGGGCCTGTCAATAGTAAGATGTACTGCTGTTGAAACATAAAGACAGGCCTGTCACTAATATCATTTAATAGAGTCACAACATAACATCAGGCCCTTCAATAGTATTATTTATATTGTTGCAACATATAGTAAGATGCACATCTGACAAAACATAAAGACAGGCCTGTCAGTAATCTCATGTATAGCATCACAACATATGGACAGGCCCTTCAGTGGTATTATTTATATTGTCACAACATATGGGCCGGCCTGGCCACAGTAAGATGTACCCTGTCAAAACATAAAGATGGGCCTGTCACTAGTATCATTGAATAGAGTCACAACATATGGACAGGCCCTTCAGTAATATTATTTATATTGTCACAACATATGGACAGGCCCATCCACAGTAAGATGTACCTCTGATGAAACATAAAGACAGGCCTGTCAGTAATCTCATGTATAGCATCACAATATATGGATGGGCCCTTCAGTAGTATTATTTATATTGTCACAGCATATGGGCAGGCCTGGCCCCAGTAAGATGTACCCTGTCAAAACATAAAGATGGGCCCATCACTAATGGATGTGGTATCCCTGGCACCCACTGAACAGTGGCTTTCCATGGACACCATGCTGGCATGAATTGGAGATGATTTGAGTGACCCAGATCTTGCAAGCTGCACCCTGGATGTATTTGGCATTAATCAGACTATTTCCAGCCATCCACCCATCTGTATTGAGCAGATGCAATATCCCCAGCACCTGCTGAACAGCAGCTTTCCATGGACACCATGCTGGCATGAATCAGAGATGATTTGAGTGACCCAGATCTCACAAGCTGCACTCTGGATGTATTTGGCATTAATCAGACTATTGCCAGCGATCTGCCCATCTGTATTGAGTGGATGTGGCATCCCCAGCACCCACTCAACAGTGGCTTTCCATGGACACCATTCTGGCATGAATCAGAGCTGATTTGAGTGACCCAGATCTCACAAGCTGCACCCTGGATGTATTTGGCATTAATCATACTATTGCCAGCCATCTGCCCATCCATATTGATCAGATGTGGTATCCCTGGCACCCACTCAACAGCAGCTTTCCATGGACACCATTCTGGCATTAATTGGAGCTGATTTGAGTGACCCAGATCTTGCAAGCTCCACCCTGGATGTATGTGGTATTGATCAGACTATTGCCAACCATCTGCCCATCTGAATTGAGTGGATGTGGTATCCCTGGCACCTGCTGAACAGCCACTTTCCATGCACACCATTCCAGCATGAATTGGAGCTGATTTGAGTGAGCAAGATCCTGCAAGGTGCACCCTGGATGTATGTGCTCTTGAAGGTAGGCTGAGATGAGGGACCTAGGAAGGAGACTCAGGCTTCAGTTAGAAGAAGTCTGAGGTACACCTGAAGGAAAAACAAACATCCTAAGTGCGAAGATTTATTATGTAAGCTTGTACAATGTAAGCAAAAGTCAGGTAAAGGGGACAACACTTCAACACACGCCCTCAGTGTAACAAGACTTAGAAAATAATACCCATACCAGAAGAGAAGTGCTCATGCTTCTTGCATGATAGCCCCTTGGTGAGGACATCAGCCACCTGCTTGTTTGTGGACACATACTGGACTGCCAAGTCTCCACTCTCCACCTTTTCATGAATAAAATGATGATGGATTGATATGTGCTTGGTGTGATCATGAAACATGGCATTAGCTGTCAGTGCTATCACAGATTGATTGTCAACTAGGAGGGGGGTTGGTTGCATGATCTTGACTGCATCTAGTTCACAGAGTAAGGTGCAAACCCACAGAAGTTCCTTTCCAGCTGCCAAAACAGCCATGTACTCAGCTTCTGTGCTCCACAGAGCTACAGAGGTCTGTTTCTTTGAAGACCAGCTTACAGCTCCACCAGACAGGATAAAGATATAGCCTGAGACTGAGCAATGGTCATTAACATCTGCAGCCCAGTCTGCATCAGCATAACCAACAAGGGAGCCACTAGGGTCCCTTGTGTACTGTAGATGTGCACTCGAAGTTTTATGTAGGTACCAGTAGACCCACTTCAGCACAGACCAATGTTGGTGTCCAGGGGTAGCAGCATGCCTGCTGAGTACACCTACAGCAAAAGTGAGGTCAGGTCATGTTGCCAACATGGCATACATCAGTGTGCCAAGTGCTGATTGATATGACTGAAGGTCACATGCAGGGGCATCAAGTTTTTCAAGTTTTAGGTTTTGCTTGATGGGTGTAGACACTGTCCAGCCATCCTGCATGCCTATGCACTTGAGAATCGACTCTATATAATGACATTGGGAGAGTTCTATCATTCCCTTGTCACAATCTCATATAATCTCCATCCCAAGTATCCAATGAGCTTCTCCCAAGTCCAAGAGGTCATACTCAGCTGACAGTTGGGTTTTTAGACATTTGATGGCTTTGCAGCTCTTTGACAGGATTAATTTATCATCAATGTATGCAGCTACAATGATTAAGGCACCATCTTCAACCTTGAAGAATAGACTATGGTCTGTGTCACTGCATGTGAATCCAAGTGACTCAAAAACTTCTTGAAGTCTCATATACCAGGATTTTGGAGCTTGTTTGAGTCCATAGAGTGCATGATAAAGGTGCCAGATGATGTCACAAGAGTCTTGAAAGCCTGGAGGGGGGCAAAGATAAATTTCTTCCTTGAGTTTGCCATTCAAAAAGGCAGACTTCATGTCCATCTGATGAACTTTGAGATTGTACTTAGTGGCAAGGGCAAGTAGAATTCTTATCATAGAGAACTTGGTTATGGGCACAAACATCTCCATGTAGTCAATACCATGCACCTGCATGAATCCTTTTGTGACAAGTCACACCTTGTATTTATCAATTTCACCTGTTGGTCCACATTTTATTTTGTAGACCCATTTCAAGTCAATGATCTTTTGATCAGGTGGCCAAGGGACCTCCTCATATAATCCTATATTTTTAAACATTGTGAGTTCATTGGCCATGGCTGCATACCAGCAATCAGTGTCAGGACAACACATTGCCTCTGTGAAGGTTGCTAGTTTGTGATCACATGATATATTTACTTGGTAAGCATTGTGGTGTTGCTGTTCACCATGAGGCCTATCACTGCCTTCACTCACCATTTCCACACTCTCTGGCACTCTCTCACCACTCTCACCACCCTTGTCCCTTCCCACAGAGTCCTCCACCACAGGTAGTGTCCATCATTCATAGGCATTGACAAAGTAATGTTGATCATCATCTTTTACAGGCATTTTTTGAACTCTAGATGATCATCTAACACCTGGAGGTTGTATTGGGACTGGATATGGTCCTGGAGGTGTTTGTGGTGACCCAGGGCATCGACCAGGCATAGGCATCACCTGGCACCTTCGTTCCAAGGTGCATTTGTCCTTGTCATTCCCATGGTTTGACCCACTAACACCTTTTTCATTCTGGACTTGAGCTCTGGGCTCAGGTGTTGAAATGTCCTGATCATTTGTGATCACCTCATTGCCATTAGTAGCCATAGTGTCATCTAGGTCCCCCCAGTCATGTACTAGGTTATTTCCTCCTTCTGAGGCTGCATCTGAGCTGTCAGAGCTGCTATTTTCCTCTGTAGGTTGGTACTTGTGCCCTCAAGCA